CTTCATCTTTGATTGTAAACTCTTGTTGGCTTTTTGAAGAGTAGAGAACTCCCTTTTCATCTCGGCCAACTTCTCCCGATTTTCAAAACATTGAATAGAGAAAGAATGGGCATGCTGGATAGCTTGAAAAAATACAAGACAAAAGTTATTACAAAATCTTCTAAAGTGCAGGAGAGGAAAAATTACCAAGTAAAGATACTTACCTGAACAGATCGCTGGAGCATCAAAGCATAATTTTCGTTCTCACTCAACTCGGCGTTCCGGTCGAGATCGCTGGGAAGAAGTAGAGCAGTACTGAGGGCTACGCCGACGTTTATGTCGTCGGCGCTATCATTGGCCATGACTGGCTTATCTTCCAAGGTAATTTCAGGGGCCCAGGGGGCAGCAGGCTTTTTAGACCCCGAGGTCATTGCAGAAGATGACCTCGGCCTTTTGGATTTGGTGGATTCTGATGGAAGTGTTTCAGCAGACCTCTTCGCAGGGACAGAGGCAGTTTTTTCACTTGGCGCCAGTTTTGAAATTGGCAAGGTATCCTCATAATCGATTTGAGGCACCTTTTCCTTAGGCTGAGCCTTTTTTATTCGTTTTGGCTTTGGAGGAGGCAGAGTTTGTGTTGGCTGAGGGTCAACATCAGTTGGAATGTTAGCCAGGAGATCTTTGGCAACTGGTTTTGGGCGACCCATCGCGGCAGTAGAAACTGTTCGGCGTCGACGGCGGTGTTGGGATATTGGAATCAAGTATGGAGCCGAGGTTGATGGTTGCTCAGCTGGATTAGAGGTTGATCCTTGGTCTTTCTGAGATGTGGACGCGGTTTGTGGAGTTGTGGTACAGGGTGGAGAAAGGCTTTTCTTCTTCCTCCTAGGGACGTCGGGCAAAGTTGACTTGTATGTTGGAATAAAATTGAGAAGCAGAGGCGCCGTTCATTTATGGACTGGCAGGTCCAAGACTTTCTTCAAATCCTTGCTGGAAATAAAAGATTGACGAAAGTTTTTTGGTGGCTTAGGAACACCTGCAAGAAAAATAGATATTAAGAAATGGATAAAGTATGAAAGACTTTAAAAAACAAAGTAGGTATGAATGCAAGGCTCTTACTATTGCCCTCTACAAAGACTGATCGAAAGAGAGGGAAGAGATGGAGGTCTTTATCTGGGGCGAACTCCCAGTTCCCCGAAGTAATGAAATAATCGTTCCCAGCTCCCTTGTTGGAGTCAGGGAGGTCAGCAACAATTTTGTATTCAGTGGACCTCGGCTTGAGGTAGTAAACGTAGCCGGTGTCTTTTTTGAGGCCACACATAGTGTAGAAATATTGGATATCCGCTAATGTGATCCTAGCGTTTTCTTGTTTCGCTAAGGCTATGATACCATTGATGGTTCGATAGGAATTGATGGAAAGTTGTATTGGGTTCAACTTGTAATAATGAAAGTATTTCACGGAAAAGGATGTTGAGTGGGAGCCGACGTCCACACTCAATAAAGGCTACCACAGGGAAAGGCATGGCGTCATCAGTAGGCATGATGGAGTCATCATCCCCAGCCAACCTCAAATGGACGTCGGCTGGGATTTCAAACTCTTGTCTAAAGAATTCTAGTTTGGATGGGTTGTTTACCCTATGTTTCCACATACCCATAATGTCGGCTTAAATGGAGATATCGGATTTCAAGAAGAAGTATTTTTGAAGGTTTAAAGGACCTCGGCCAAAAACCTAAAAGTACACTTTGGTAAGGGTTTGTATGGATCTAGAGGGAGTTCGTTTCAGTTTAACACTTAGAGTAAATACAGGTTTCAGTTTTTTCCTAAATTGTGGGTTCTATAGACAAATCCCAAACCTAAGTCTACGGAAACGAAGATTAAAGGCACAAATATGGAAAAGACACAAAAAACAGAAACAAGAACAAGTTTCAGAATCAAGAACAGAGATGGTCTATCAAGAGCATAAAGAATACAAGAAGTATAGGGCCAAGAACAGTGGTAAAAGTACAGGGAAGTGGTAAAACAGTGCGTGTGTTCTAGATATGGGCAAGGGCAAAATCGTTAAAAAAACACATTCAGATGTATGATTCACAAGTTAAAAGTTTGAACAAATGCAGTAATGACAGCAAGTAATAGAAACATCAAAGAATTAAAAACGAAGGGAACAGTAAACTCACCGAAGAAAAGAAGTCGGTGTAAGAATCGCCGAAGTCAGATAATAGTTACAGAAGTAACAAAACGGCGGAAGCTTCACCAGAAGGAGGAATGAAGGTAGTTGCAGAGCTTGAGGTCTGGAACAATGGCGTATTCAAGAGCTAGAGAGAGAAAAAGTAATGGAATCGAATGAAAAGTGCAAAAAACGAAAGAGGAAAACAAGTTTTGTCAAAAACTTGAAATGGCGGCAAAAAGAGGGCAATTAATGCGCCTGGGACAACAAATGTGTCAGACGGTGCATGTAGGCGCGAAATGACTTATAAGTGTGTCCAGAGTACGATCCAGTAAGGAGAGAACACGTGGCTTAACGATTGAGTTGTTATGTACGACAGCCCATATGCGTGAAGGAGCTCTTGGAATTCTTGATCTTTAAGAAGACATGTCGGCCTACGGTGATAATCTCAGATTAAACCGATGAATTAATATGAGGTACTGATATAGGTTCTATCACCTCAGAATGCTGAGGTAATAAAACCTAGGGGGCAGTTGTGGGGATATATTTTTGAATACCAACACGAGGCAAGGTGACGCCGATGTGTCAGCCGAGGTGCCACGTGTCCCGGCCATGACGCCGAGGTTATCTCTGCAAGGCCGAGGTTACCTCTGAAGATATCAGAGTCCGAGATAAGCGGATAAGGCACAGGAGTCCTAGAAAAGGGGAAGACTACAGTTGGTAAAGGATAAGACTCTTAGGGAGTTTATCCCAATCCTACTGGAATCCAAGATTGATAGTAATCCTAAGTCCATTAGAGCTAGGCTCCTGTTGGGACAAGGATTGAGTTAGCTATAAAAGAGAGGCACCCACGTGGGCCTAAGGTATGCAAGTTATATTCTGTCTAGTGAGTTAAGCACTATTGATTATCTTTGAGAGATATACTGACTTGATCGTGGAGTGCCCCCAGGTGGACGAACCACCGTCGAAATCTTCTCTTTCTGTTACAGGTTAGCCAGGTGTCATCTATTCTGCCAGTGTTCTCCTACTGAATACTGAGTTGGGCAATGTGATCGGAAAATCACTCACACATTATCAATAGTCATATCTTTACTCACCAAATATGGGTTGACAAAATGACGGTTTGTTAGAATTTTAAAAATTTTATCAAATGTCTCAAAATACAAAATAAAATTCTATATTGTGTTTTTTTTCTTTAATAATCAATTGGGTTTCAACACCCACTTCTCTCTCTCTCTCTCTCTCTCTCTCTCTCTCTCTCTCTTTATCAAATGGGGGTTAAGGAAAAATGGATTTCATGTTAAGAATCATTTTTATTTCATCTTATGGGTTGAGACTCTTTAAAAAAAATTCTAAAGCAAAAATCTCATTGAACCCTACCAATGACAATTACATTCGGACTACACTGAAATTGAAACATTAAAGGGTGTCTTTCTATTTTTGTAACTATTGAAATGGGTTAAAAATATGATGGATTTTGATTTTGTTGCATTATAGGGCTGTTTGCACCCTGTTTTATTTTGTTGCATAATCCAACAGCCCATTTTATTTTGCACCCTATTTTTGGTGATAATAATTCCTATAATCTATTGAATGCTGCTGTTGAGGATGAGCTTTAATAGAAAAAACAAAAACGTTAAACATTTTAAAATTTTTATCAAATGTCTCAAAATACAAAATGAAATTTTGTATTGTGTTTTTTTCTTTAATAATCAACTGGGTTTCAACACCCACTTCTCTCTCTCTATCAAATGCGGGTTAAGGAAAAATAGATTTCAAATTAAGAATCATTTTTATTTCATCTTAGTTAAATGGGTTGAGACTCTGTTTAATTATCAATAGTCATATTTTTACTCACCAAATATGGGTTGACAAAATGACGGTTTGTCAGAATTTAAAATTTTTTATCAAATGTCTCAAATGTCTCAAAATAGAAAATAAAATTCTATATTGTGTTTTTTTCTTTAATAATCAATTGGGTTTCAACACCCACTTCTCTCTCTCTATCAAATGGAGGTTAAGGAAAAATGAATTTCATGTTAAGAATCATTTTTATTTCATTTTATGGGTTGAGACTCTCATTAAAAAAAAGTTCCAAAGCAAAAATCTCATTGAACCCTACCAATGACAATTACATTTGGACCACACTAAAATTGAAACATTAAAGGATGTCTTCCTCTAATAAGGCACCAAAGCTCTTAAAGGACTAATAACTAACCCATAATCTGTGATATACATGCACATACGAACTTCTTAAAGTAGGTTGTTAACTAAAATATGTTATGAGGTTGTTAATTCTGTGTCAATTAATTTTTCTTTGTGGCAATTACTAAATCTCATTTTGCTTTCTTACAATTATATTTCATGTCAACAATCATTTTTATTTCATCTTAATCAAATGGGTTGAGGTTCTCATTAAATGGTTATATTCTTACTCATCAAACATAAAAATAGATTCGTATACATTTTCAGTGTTGAGGAGTGCTCTTACTAATTGTGTTTTTTTTTTTTATCCTTTTGTGTCAGATTTTTTTAATTTTGATTCTACAAAAGCAATCTTGTTGTATTTATCTTTTTGAGCTCTATATATTTTTTTAACCCAATCCTACAAAAGTCGACACATATAGTAAAATATTTTAAAAATAACAATTTGTAAACAATGTTTGTAGTAGAATCTGGCTCATCATTAGGAAGGACACTTATATGATCAAAAGATGTGCATCTAGATAGGGCCACATACAATTGCCCATGACTAAACACTAGTGTGTGCAAATCAACTCCAACAAATTTCACAGATTGCCCTTGAGATTTATTAATGGTCAGGGCATATGCCAGTCGAACTGGAAATTAATGTCTTGTCATTCAGAAAGGCATTTCTAAAGAAGACGGTGTCAAGGATATCCTTGGTATGAATACCAAATTGCCAAATTTTTCTCCAGTTAAAATTTGAGCTTCAATTATGCGAGTATTACATCTAGAAACCATCAATCTTGTGCCATTGCACAGTCCATCTTTTGGTGCAATATTTCTTAACAACATTATAGGACAGCCCACTTTCAACTCTACCTTAAAAGCTGGTAGCCCAGGAGGATCTAATGAATTTAAATATTCATTAGGATATCTGTTTATTATAGTACGATCAATTTCATCATCTTCAGACATCTTGTCTGCTGCCAAATAAGTATGTGTGTTACCCGAAAAAATATTCAATGCTACAGTATTGATAGCACTGACATTATCATTCCATGCAGAATGAATTGTACGTTCAGTTAAAAATGTTGCAGTCGATGTCATTGCCATATACAGTTGCGGATAAACTACTGAGATTATGTCTTTTATATCTTGGCATTTGTGTATTGTTGATGGAAGTTTAACAATTTCTTGAGGATTGGTCCCAATCTATTTATAAAAATAAATAAATAAAATAGTAAGTAAAATCAATCAAAGTACATAAACGTAAATGTATTTCGTCAATTTAAAAGAACCATATAATAGAGAAAAAGTTTGAAGAAATATTACCTCCATCAAGAATTTTGCAAAATTAGCATTTCCAAGATTTGCATGATTCAAGCGCATGTTCAAATTTGAACATAGAAAATGTATATCCTTCCATAGAAAAGAGTGTCTTAATGATGCATTCACAATTTGCTCACGGACTCCTTTGATTATAACTGGTAAGATTTGTCAAAAATCTCTACCAAGAACAACAGTGATACCCCTAAATGGCTTTTCACTATCACAAGTGTCCCGAAGTGTGCGATCAACTGCCTCAACACAATGTCTATGCTGCATAGGAACTTCATTCCAGATTATAAGTTTTGTTTCTCTAAACAATCCTGCTTGTAATGATTGCTTGCTAAATCCACAAATTGAATTTTCCAATACATCCAATGGAATGGAAAATGTTGAATGAGCAGTACGACCTCCTACAAATAATAATGATGCAATTCCAGATGAAGCCACAGTAATAACAATATGGCCAAGGCTGCGACACTTCAATGCAATCGCATTATACAAAAACGTTTTCCCTGTTCCGGCATCTCCATTCAAAAAGAATATAGCTCCTTTATTTTCGAAGACTGGGGAAGTGATTGCATCATAAGATGTTCATTGATCGTTGTTGAGGCGATCAATAATAATTTATGCATCTGCCTGTTGTGCCTCATTCTGCAGTTGTTGATGTTCGAATATCAACCTATTACCAACTACTGCACTCCAATTTGTAGAAGGTTGTGGCATTGGCAGGAAGTCAATTAAAATTTTTCCTGATTCTTGGAGCATTTGATTCAAAAGATATAGAACATAGTCTTCAATTTGAACCTCAGTTGGTTTAGAAATGGCAAACAATATTCGAATCTTATGTGCAAGATCATCACATATATGCATTGAAAATTGATTCCATAACGCATATGGTTGCAGTGGAGAGCACTGAGTAAGAATAATAGTAAACAATCTCCTTAATTGGTAACCAGTTTTCATAACTGCAGCCTCTTTAAGGCATTGTATCCATTCTTCGTCATCTTCTAAAAGTCCTCTTGCAATACATGCTGATTTAAACATATCATGCAAAACATTGTTGACTGTGCATAAGCATTGAAACGATTCTGGCCCTTTGACAATGATTAATAGCAAATGCAAATAAAATCTCTCACCACAATTAGGGCTAGCAAAGTACATTCTACCGATTGCATAGCCCCGCTGCCTTGGTTTCCATCTTTTTTCTGAATTAAGCTAAACAAAATGTTGTGGAAATTCTTGGTAAGTGAATGGACATTCATCTTCCATAGAAGGGCAACATGCAAAAAAACCAGAAAGAGTTGACATTTGTTAGCCAGCTCTAGAAACAATTGCTTCTAATGATTCATCAGGATTAAAAAAAACGCGGTGCATTTCATGTAAATGAAGTGCTAAGCGTACAACTGTTGGTATCTCAGCATGCAATCGATGACCAAATATTCGCCAAGCAGCTTCTAGAGGTCCAATATACCTCGCATCGAGATATTGTTGGATCTCATTTATCAATCCCAACAACATCGTTGTACGATCATAACCCTTATGAATGTACTTGTGTATATACTTGACGCATCTCATTCCGGAACAAACTTCCACATTTATGTGACAGTTGAAACGTTTAGAAAGATATGCATTGCACGGTACGATGTCTCTGTTATCAACTTCTTTCCCCCTCACAATATGAACTTGACCATTATTGCGACGACGATAGATAGGATATCCATCTTGATCCATAGTAGTTGTTTCTGTGAATGCTCGAGGGTATTTCTTAGTGCAATTACCATTTTCCATACATGGTGCTTGTGCATTTCGAGCACCACATGGTCCATGTACCATACACCACTTGATAGTTTCAAAAAGCATAGGTTCATCTTTTAGATCTGGAAATTCTGCACAAACCAATTTGTCTACTTGAGCATATGTCCAAATTTTGTCTAGATCCTTAAGAAATAGAAGTGCATGCATATGAGGAAGGCCTCATTTCTGGAATTCAATTGTAAAAACATGGGCAACTTTATTACCAAACACTCAGTTTGTTTCTATCTCCTTCATCAAGTATTTTCTCTTTAACTCAAAAACACGGGCAATTAAATCAGGACGATCAATAGGCTTTTGGTACGATAATAATGCCGAAGTAATTTCTGGCCAATTAGGATTTGCAGTCATGGTGAGAAAAATGTCTGGATGTTGGTTGTATCATGTGATAGCCATTGAGTTTTAAAAGATTTCAAACATGTGTCTAGGACCTCCAGGAAATGAAGATGGCAAAACAAACCTTTGACCAATTTGATTGGGTTGAAGGTCATTTAGATCAATAGCTGTCAAATCTTGGTAAAGTTCAGCCTGAATTTTCCCTTGATTAAGCTTGTAGTAAGTCAGCCTATTTTGTTTAGTTGCAGCACAAGCATCAACCAAAAACTCTTGGAAAAATTTTCCAACTCTCAAAATTGTTGAATACTCTGTGGGTCGTTCAAACAAACGATAACTATAAAAATCTATTTGAGTAAGCCGATCAGTTGAAGGCCGATCATGTTGAACATCCCACAGTTTCATCTCAGGTTCCCATCCAAGCTCACCATGTGGAAATAATAAAACATTATGTAATGGAAAATATGCTGGGTGACATTCATTGATTTGCATTAGCTCATTATTTCCTTGTAGATGTAAGATAACATCTCTCATTCCACTAACCTTGGTTCCATCACCTGGTATTACAACTGCAATCTCATCTGTAGTTGGTAGGTTATACCGTCGTCGATCTGTCGATGAACTGTAGTGGAGATGAGCAGGCAAATTTCGTCCTATCAAGGCTAATTGATTCAAAATTGCATGAGCCTGGCGAAATTTAGTAACGAATGCATTAACCTGGAGGAAGCTTAACCTTTCCTTTTGAACAACATGTTCCGAATAGAGGACGGTTTGGAGATGATTTTACTAATTTTTCACCCATCCAATGTAATGCTGAACAGAAAGGACATAATACATTCATCTTGCCAAGAGAATGACGACATGAATTTATATGTGCTCGAGTACTAACCATTGGACTCATATGCATATCCTCTAATTCCTCAGTAGTACATAGATCCTCTTGAACGGAAGGAGTTGTAAGAGTAGGCCTACAAATATTGGCTCTGTGTAAATTAAAATAGAATGGTAATAGTAGAAGTATGTATCTGAAGAATAAAACACAGTCTTTTACCAATTCCTTTGTGGAGCTAAAGATGTGCTTGGCATTGAGAACGAACATGTGGAAGGATGTGCAACCATTGTTCGTTTTAGCGCCGACTGAGTATCATCAGTTGCCTTTGTTCCTAGTTCCAAGCAAGCACGACTACGACGGCACGGTATTAAAGACGTTTGTCTCGGTTGAATACATTCTCTTGATTTCTCCTGTTCTCGCTGTGCACATTGGGCCAATGTAGCTTTTGATGTAACATTGTTATTGTGTACCTAAAATGGGAACATTATATCATTGATACCTAAAATACAAATATTATCGTATACTATTTTATTTCTTGATTCAATAATTTTGTTATTTTAATTATATTTTACTTTTTCTTCCAGCCTTGTCATAATTTTAAGAATATTTTTACATTTTTTTTATCTTACTTCCTTTTCCATTTTGCTTCATTTTCCCTCTTCATGCCTTGTGATATAACAATTTGTTTTTTAATTATTGTTTTCTTTTTCTTCTTGCCTCGTGATAATTTTAAGAAAATTAAAAATATTTTCTATGCCTAAGGAAGATGAAGTGCTCCCCGAATGAACGTTTTGGGTTGAAGAACACTTCTGGGACATGGAAGCTTGTGATGAATCATATTTTGTGTGTGCTAGAGACATTTTTCTAAATGACTATGTGTAGTCAAATATTTTGATGTAACTAGGATAAAGAAATTTTTTGGTTAATTCTTTCCTTGCTTGTTGAACTATTTTATTTTTGGTTTCAAATGTAAAGAAACAACGTTGTTAGGTTTGGAAATAGTTCAAAAGGGAAGGAATATTGTTAATGTGTATCATTTATATTTTGTTTTGTTGTGTTGTTTATCCTATATTGGTAATGCCCTGATGAGAAAGAGAAACAGGATGGGTTACTTGTCAGGGCGTTATGAAGGCGATTCGATGGCTCGAAATAGTGATGGGGCTTTTGACTTTGCTTTTGCTTTTGTTTCTCACTACAGAAAGAGGTCACAACAATGGTGAAGCAAGGGCGGCACGAGAGAGCAAGAGGAAAAGGGAACGGGAGAGGGAGAGGGAGAGAGAGAAGAAAAAGATGAGAAAAAGAATAGCATACCTGTGTTGTGCTGTTTCTGATGGAATGAAAAAATGAGATGGTGAAGTGATGGTCAATTGTTTCTTTATCCACCCAAAATGTTCAGTCAACTATTTTTGGCAATAAAAAATTAGGACAAAGACAAACAATTTATTTGTGACCAAATTAATTCGGTTGCCATAAATATCATTCAGATTTTTGACGACTAAATAATGTTTGTTGCCAAACAAAAACAATTGGTGACTAAAATTTCCGTTGCCATAAATTAATTTGGTCACCGAAAATTTTAGTGTTCCCACATAGAATTTTTACTTGGCACCAAACTCAACAGCAACCAAAAATTTAAATTCGTCGCCAAAAGTTTAGTTTTTAGAGACCATAAATATTCTGTCGCTAATTATGTATCTTTAGCAACTAAATTTTTGTTTGGTTGCTAAAGAACGTCGCCAAAATGTTTTTTGTTGTAGTGCAAAGCAAACAATATTGTGCTAATGGGGTTAGGTTGGCTGTTTTATTTGGTGCCATCTGTGGGAACTCCCTCTGATGTGAGTCTCTTCGCGTTCGGAGCCAGGCAATTGGGGACTTATGTGGGAGCACGAAATGGGTTTGTCCCATATCAGTCTGAGAGGTATCCACAACCCATTTAATAAGTTGACTAACTCCTCGTAACTAGTATGAGGCATTTTCTAAAGAATAACAAAATAGTGAGGCTTCGGCCAAAGCGGACAATATTATGCTAGTGGGATTAGGTTGACTGCTTCATTTAAGTCAACTTATTAAGTGGGCTGTGGATGCCTCTTAGACTGATGTGGGACAAACCCATTTTGGACTCCCACAGAACTCTCCAGTTGACTGGCTCTGAACGCCACGGGACTCACATCGGAAGGAGTTCCCACAAACGGCGCCACATGAAGCTGCCAACCTAATCCTACTAGCACAATATTGTCTTCTTTGGCTGAACCCTCAGGGTTTTATTCTTCTTTGCCCATTTCAGGCTCCCGCATAAATGTCTAGTTGACTGGCTCTAAATTCTAAGGGACTCACATTGGAGGGAGTTCCCACCGACGGTGCCAAATGAAATAGCTAACCCCCCATTAGTACAATATTGTCCGCTTTGGATGTACCCTTACGGTTTTGTTCTTCTTTAGAAAAGCCTTATACTAGTTAGAAGGAGTTAGTCAACTTATTAAGTGGGTCGTTAATATCTCTCAGACCGATGTGAGACAAACCCATTTTCAAGCTCTCACATATATGACACAGTTTGAAATCATCACTACCTTATCTAACATTAGATCATTCAAATCCAAATTCGATAATTTTGAATATACGATTCACTAACCTTACCAGATTCAGCAACTTTCACATGATTGTTTATCCAAAAGTATAATTATTTTATTTTATTTCAGCTGATGTATAATTTCCCTTTGTTCCAAAAACATCTCATATTTTAAATTGGATGATAAATATTGATGGCATCATCGGGTAGAACACACATTTTAATAGTTTTGGGAAGAAGGTACATATAAGTGTGTGTAAGCATAGGTGTAAATAGTAACGTGGGCTTGCTATAGACAAACAAGTTTGTTGCTGTTGCTGTTGCTGTTGTGTCTACTTTTAACGAGAGAGAGAGAGAGACAGAGAGAGACGATCAGCTTTGCATATAGTAGTTAGTTTGGTTTCACTCCTGCAGCAGTTGTTGCCTTTGCTTCCACCGATTCATATATTAGAAAAAAAATGCCTGTACAAGACACGATGAAACTCTGATGTATAAAAGAATGTGGTTATCTCATATGTCAATGAATGTCTTATTTGATGGGTTTAATGTTATTATTTTGAGGGCGTTACAGTCAACTTATTAAGTGAGTTGTTAATGTCTCTCAGACCGATGTGAGACAAACCCATTTTCAAGCTTTCACATATATGACACAGTTTGAAATCATCATTACCTTATCTAACATTAGATCATTCAAATCCAAATTCGATAATTTTGAATATACGATTCACTAACCTTTCCAGATTCAGCAACTTTCACATGATTGTTTATCCAAAAGTATAATTATTTTATTTTATTTCAGCTGATGTATAATTTCCCTTTGTTCCAAAAACATCTCATATTTTAAATTGGATGATAAATATTGATGGCATCATCGGGTAGAACACACATTTTAATAGTTTTGGGAAGAAGGTACATATAAGTGTGTGTAAGCATAGGTGTAAATAGTAACGTGGGCTTGCTATAGACAAACAAGTTTGTTGCTGTTGCTGTTGCTGTTGTGTCTACTTTTAACGAGAGAGAGAGAGAGACAGAGAGAGACGATCAGCTTTGCATATAGTAGTTAGTTTGGTTTCACTCCTGCAGCAGTTGTTGCCTTTGCTTCCACCGATTCATATATTAGAAAAAAAATGCCTGTACAAGACACGGGACATTATTATAGTAAATTTACATTTTACAAATATAATAATTTTTGTGTTAAATTTCACAACTACAATAAAAAATTTATACTGGGAAAAAAAAATATTTATAATGAAGTGTCAACGACATTTTTAAAATTATAAAGACAATGATAGGTTGTATTTTGATTGTAAATGAAGTAATTAGAAGAAGTCATATTAGTCTATATATAAATCTGTGTAAAATTCTTTTGGAAAATTAAAAAAAAAAATTCCATTATTTATATCATGTAACAAAATAAATTCTTAATTTTATCAATTTAAATTCTAAACTTTTGATTTTTTTTTTCAATCTAAACTATTTGCCTATTTTTTCTTCTTTTTATAAATAAAATGGATGAAAAAAATTATATTTAGTCATTAAACTCAATGTAAGTGTATAGAAAATATTTAAAATATAATTTTTTTGGTCAAATTTAATGACTAATATCTATATAACAAAGGAAGGGTTGATTTGAAAATGTCTTTGAAATTAATGGTTCAGATCTATCTAATTTAAAAAGCAATGGCTCAGATTTATTTTTAAAAATATCTCTCGCATAAACTATCTTTAATGGTTTAGATTTGTCCAATTTAAAAACAATGGCTGAGATTGAAAAGAGTTTCAATGGTCTAGATTTATCAATGACTAAAATTCAATGTTTCAAATTTGCTTACCTATCTATTCTCACCAACACACTGCACTTACCAGGTAAGGCATAGCTCAATCGAAAGCTCTCTTCTCCACCATCACCAGGTAAGGCACTCTTCTCTCTTCTGTTTTTTTTTTTAATTTTTTTAATCATCCCGCCATCCCCACCTTCAGTTTGAATGCTAAACAATGGCTCAGATTTTTTTTACCTTCAGTTTGTTTTTTTCTAAAGCAAAAAAAAAAAAAAAAAAATTCTGAATTTACTTACTCTGTGCATTGCCTCCATCTTCATGACGCAAATGTTGGTTTTATGTTGTTATTAACAAAGACATATGAATTGAATGAGCTAATTTTCAGAAAATGGAATGTGAAAAATGACTTCCTATTTATATTTTAGTCAACTTTGTTATCAGAACATAGGAATTATGATGTTATCTGCAATCAATTCAAAAGGCCAATTTTTAGTGTTAATCAAAATTTAATTTTATGGATTTTGTATCCATCCTAAAAAAACATACATAGGTTTGATTAGAATATTCCTGAAATTTGAGAATTTTGTATCCATCCTAAAAAATCATCCATGGGCTTTGATGAAATGACATGTTTCCATTTTGAACCAATGCTTTTGTGATGTTCCAATTTCAAATAATCTCATTTTAGCTTATGAAGCTAAATGATCTAAAACTCACAATGAGATGGTGCCCCAATTGTGGGTTCCTGAGAGCATTGCTTTTAACTAAGCTACGTCCAATTGAGCCACTAAAAGTTGAATAAAGCTTCAGATAACATGTCCTCAAATACGGGCTTTCTATACTATTTTGTATATCACTAATTCTAAAAGCCATAGTGCTTCATGCTACCTAGAGTATGCAAAAGTCAATTGAGTTGAGTTTCCATTTCCAATTATAACATTTTGGTCAGTCATATTGATTTGTTACACATGCAGAGGTAGTTTGAGCAAGAGGCAATTAATCTAACGATGAAGTTGCAACAACAATCCACTTGGATGCGCAAGGGAAAGCGACCAAGAATGTCACAAGATTGCCCATATTCCATCCATCAATGTCTTGTAGATTTAAAGGTAACTTATATATTTCTCCAAATGTTATCCATATTCATGATTTCTTCTCTTCTCTTCTCACCCCCTTCCTATCCCCCACCTTCCCAATGTTGTTTGCTCGTTTCCTTTATCTCACCACCTCTTTTTGGGTTTCAGGTCAGGAGGCATTTCATGAATGATGAATCTTCCTCTACAAATGATGAATCTTCTTCTTCAAGATGAAGCATGAAATAGTCTACTGCCAATTATGTAATTTCCCTCTCTCTCTCTCTCTCTCTAAAGTCCATCAGTTTTAATCTAGCTTTTTTATATGTATTATTATACATTTTTATCTGGTCTCCAGTTTGCGCTTTGCCAAATCATGAGTATGTAATAGTTTATAAATTTTTTTTCTTTGAAACTTATATATATATATATATATATATATTTCCAGGTTTATTAATCTCTCTGTGCTCCCACAAATTGCTATGTTACAAGGTCTCTTCTACAAGGAGGAGTTCCAGTTTTTCTTCAAGTGTAAATGTTGGATTTATTGCCTGCCAGCTGTACAATCAATAAGTGCAGTCCATTAATAATCAATGTAGGGAGAAGAGGTAATCGTTGATGCACATGATTTTGAAGAATCAGAGCAATGTTATGCAAACTTTGTAGGTTGTTCCTTGAATGTTGTTAGTCATTTGAGTTATTTTTTTTATAATTTTCAAGCTTAATAGTTCCACTTGTCAGTTGCAGATTCTCGTCAGGTGAAAAACTAAATAGTTTCAATGATCAACCAGTCTTCAAAATGCTTTCCTGCTTAGCTTTGAGTCAAACTTTGATTTTCCATAGCTAACAAAAATTTTATGTTGTTATTAACAAAGACATGTGAATTGAATGAGCTAATTTTCAGAAAATGGGATGTGAAAAATGACTTCCTATTTATATTTTAGTCAACTTTGTTATTAGAACATGGGAATTATGATGTTATCTGCAATCAATTCAAAAGGCCAATTTTTAGTGTTAATCAAAATTTAATTT